ATAAAATAGCTTCACTGCACAGACGCAGGTAATTCACACACGCAAATTTCACCCCTCTCTCTCGCATGCACTAATTATTTCAAATAAATGATATAATTCATTCATTCAAATAAATGTGATCTTACATTTACAGTAATTAATTTTTCTGTGTAAAACTCTTTCTGCACTACTTCCCCTGTGTCTGATTTAAAGCAGGCAGAATGCTAACGAGCCATACCTGATGAAAATTACAGTATTTTTTACTGTTTGCCTCCAAGTCCTATATTAAAATATTTTAAGGCATATGCTAGCTGTGGATTAACCCTTACATTTAACGCAGGTAATTCACACACGCAAATTTCACCCCTCTCTCTCGCATGCACTAATTATTTCAAATAAATGATATAATTCATTCATTCAAATAAATGTGATTTTACCGCACTACTTCCCCTCTGTGTCTGATTTAAAGCAGGCAGAATGTTTACATTTAATGTGTGCATGCCGTTTCTTGTTATATATTACAAGCTCTATTTAAAATTAAACTTGTTTTGCTCTTGTAACTGATCTAGCGATCTGTCACAACATGGCAGATAGCATGCACACATAAACTGGTAGTGAGCAATTACTGAGATAAAGCAATTAGGAAAACTACTTACAGTTTACTAGCGAAACTGCACGGTGGAAGAATTGTCACATTTTTGTTACAACCATTAAAAAACTTGGTGGAATTTATGTGACCGTTGCACCTGTTGTTCATAAACTTTCATAACTGGTGTTTTTTACTTTTGTCTTGTGTGCTGACCTGGCTGTGAGCCTTCATGAATCTGTTTCTTTGCATGTATTTCTTTACTTACTGTTGAATGTTGAATGAACAGTGTGAATTCTCATGTGGTAATTACAGGAGCACGCATTTGTGAAACTCTTCCCACAATACTTGCAAGAGTATGGCTTCTCTCCAGTGTGAACTCTCATGTGGACTTTAAGGTTTTGTTTTGCAGTGAAACTCTTTCCACACTATTTGCATGTATATGGCTTCTCTCCAGTGTGAATGTTCATCTGAGATTGAAGGCTGCTTTTCTGTGAGGCACTCTTTCCACGCTGATGGCAAGTGTAAGGTTTCTCTCCCGAGTGAGTTCTCATGTGTCTTTGAAGGGCTGCTTTTAGAGTGAAACTCTTTCCACACTGTTGGCAGGTGAATGGCTTTTCTCCCGAGTGAGTTCTCATGTGATTTTGAAGGTTTGATTTTTGAGTGAAACTCTTTCCACACTGTTGGCAGGTGAATGGCTTAACTCCCGAACTCCCGAGTATGTGATTTTGAAGGTGTGGTTTTTGAGTGAAACTCTTTCCACACTGTTGGCAGGTGAATGGCTTCTCTCCTTCTCTCC